TTCATCACGCTATAACAAGAATATAACTAAGAAAACTTGTCTGCAGAGACAAATTTAAATGCATTCTGTTGGAAATAAACCTGTGAACGGAGGAACCGGATCCCTAGTAGCAATGTATTTTTTACCAATTCTCTCCCTATCTTTTTCTCCTTAGTCTTGAACATTTCATGAATATGCTTACTTTCCCTATTTCATTTCATCTAACATTTCGCTTTTCAGCGGTTCTCAACCTGTGGGTTGGGAACCCTTTGAAAGCCGAACGACCTTTTCACAGGGGTCGCCCAATTAAAAACAGTAGCAAAATCATAGTTATGAAGCAGCAACGAAAATAATTTTATGGTTGGGGGTCACCACAACATGAAGAACTATATTAAAGGGTTGTGGCATTAGGAACCAATGGCTTAGTAGGTAATAAGATTTAGTAGGCTTCTAAGCATTCTTAAATAATACATTATTTCTATAAAATTCAATCTCAAGCAATTTCAAGCAATTCAGAATTCAGCCCCCAGCAAACTTTGTCAGGGGACTCTAGCTAATTTTAAAATATCATATGGTTAACTTAGCTTAAGATTTCCCTAAAATTACTCTCCATTCTTAACACGTTAATTTTCTAAGGTCATACCGATGAAACATACTTTCCTCTAGTTCTTTAATGCTTCCTCCCCACATAATGACCTCAATTCTACCTTATAAATTTGACTAAACCAGAACATATACACTGCTACAGATAAGAGCCCATAACACAGGGAATCCAGGAGTGATAAACCCCTCAGGACCAATAATGAGAATAGAGATACCAGGAGGGGAAGAGGGAAAGGGGATACGGGGTGGGGAGGAAGGGGGAATCAATCCCAAGAATTGACATATAACCCCCTCCCAGGGGGACAAACGACAGAATAGTGGGTGAAGGGAGACAGTGGATGATGTAAGATATAAAAATAATAATTTATAACTTATCAAGGGTTCATGGAGGGAGAGGAAAAATGAACTGATATCAAGGTCTCAAGTAGAAAGAAAATGCTTAGTATTTGGGACTGGGGCCAGCCCTCCAGACCTCTCCACTGGTTCCCTACTCCATGCAGGCATGTTGTATTCACACCTTTGCCTGCCCCTCCCCCCCAGAAGAAGTTATTTCAAAGGATGGCACTGAATCTGCAGCTCCGGGAGAAGGATATATCTGACCAGAGCACACAGGAGCAGATGACAGGGGAGGAGGAGCAACTGGAGCACACCCTGGCCCACCAGGCCTTGAGGACGATGACCCCAATTAGAGCAGCCAGTCCAAAGAGAGGACCACATGGCCAGCTCCACTATGAGACATGATGCCCCTCACTGACCCATGGCCCTGCGGGGGACAACACCAGAGACACAGTGTGGGAATTGC